CTCTCTCACTCAGAGGAATAAGATGAATCAGAGTTTTTTTTCTACGCACAATATTTCACCATGTTTTTTTAGTGAGAAAATGTCACAAGCCTGATCCTTTGTCCAGCCGCTGAACACAGCGCTGAAAGAGAATTGGGTTTGTTACAACCGTGTATCTCTTCCACGCACACATACGCACAAGTCACTAAGATAGAAAGGGGAGGTTTGTGTATGTGTGTGTATGAGTGAACGTGTGTGTGTTAGTGTTGGTGTGTGCAGCAAGGTTAAGGCTGGCTGAGACCCACCTCGAGCTCTTTGCTGGCTAACAGGCAGCAGGCTAATAACTTCAATTATCTCAACACTCGGCTTCAGGCCACAGCTGATAGGACAGCAGCAAGCATTATCTGCCTTTGATAGAGACTTTGGGACACACACACACACACACACACACACACACACACACACACACACACAAATAGAGACATATAAAGCCGAGCCAAACAGAAGTCTCTAAATCTGTGAACTACTGTACTCACAGGGACACAGGGATCGAGCTGCAAATGTCCAAACATGCTCTCAAGCAGACACACACACACACATACGCATTTAAGTCCCTTGAAGGACATATAAAGCCGTGTGAGACAATCACCAGTGGATAATTCAGCTCCATTACGCCGTTTGCTCTTCAGACTCCTCCACAATAAAAGCCTGAATTTGACTGGATACACGCAAAATAAAGCGTAGGACAATGATTTTATCTCCCTGTGAAAGGCAAACCTTCCTTTTTATCGCCCCGTGTTAACCTGACATTTAAGTATCTCTTTGTGCCATTTAGGACGCAGTAAATTGTAATAGTGGACGAGTAAGTGAGATCATTGATTGAGCCTGCTGGTACAGGGTTAATGGCTGCTGCCATTTACTCTCTCTCTATAACCGCTTTATTAGAGAGCCGATGGACACTTGGTCGCTTTGATATTTATGCAGATCGAATTTTATGACAGTAGTGAGTGCGACTCACTTGTACTCTTTATATTTGATCATTTATTCCTCTGTTTTAATCTAAAAGATCAGTCATCACTTTAGTCCGCAGTAATCCTTCAGGACAGCTTTTATATTTCCAACCCAGACTCCATATGTGGTTAATAAAAACAGACTTTGATGGTTTGCATATGTTTGAAAGAAAACAGCACAGAGACAACACATCCAAAGTAGAAACTGAATTTTTTTTATGGTTTCATGTAAAATAAAGATTGCCAACAACACTACTTTGAGATGCTGAGTCTTTCCGAAGTAAAGAGGAAGAGGTCCACTATTCTGTGAGAGACTGTGTGAACAAATAGTGAAGCAATTTCAAAATAATGTTTTAAGGGTATCAGCATATAGAGTTCTTGATATTGTTAAAAGATTTAGAGGATCTGGAAAAATTTCTGTGTACAACAGACAAATCTGACATCTGATACTGGACTGCCAAGATCTTCAGGTTCTCAGCACAAAGACCGATATGACGAATCACAGCATTGAACTCAAAATCCATGGTTAAGAGAAGAGAGAGAGGCTATGTGGTTTCTCAGTGAAATTCAACAGCATCTGTGGGTGTTTTCACACCTGGAAGTTCGGACCAAGGTCTGTGTTTTTGTTACATACTGTATATATACATGCTACATACAGACTAACAGACTTTTCATGACTTTTCAGGCTTTGTCATTTCCTGTCTTTGGTACGAAGGTCCAAGCCTTTCAAAATAATGCTTTCACACTGGGCATGAAGTAGACCCTGGTTCAGTTCGGTCCAGACTGAGGTCCTGGGGAGGTTTCACACCTATCATTTTGGTTCGGACTAAACAGAAAAGTCAGATAGTCTGGAACAAACAACATAGGTGTCAAAGCCCCTTCTGATGGTATGTAGATGCAGAAGTGTGTGGCCTACATATCTCGCAGGGCACGTCTTGAGTGAACACTTCTCTGTGGATGTCATTTTCAACACATCAGATTTCATCATATTGACCCAGAATAGAATCTGAAAATCTTTATTTTATTTATTTTATCTATTTTTGCACAGAAGAGTTTTAGTGCATGTACAGACTGGAGAATTTATTACAACAACCCTCCCCTAACACTTACTGCACTGTTCAGTATTAGCAGTTATCATTTCACACTTTGCTGACTAAAAATCGCTGCATTGATTTCTGATCACCAAACGCATCATATTTTTCTGAATGACATAACATCCTCCATGTACGGTTCTGTTACACCCTTGGTAGAGACTCTCAAAAACAAAGAAAAAGGCCTGTGAGGTTTTTCTATGTCCACTCGGTGATGCAGCAACTGGTGTGCAAACATAGAGGCTTCAAGTCTGCAAAACTTTGAGAGAAACAGGTACAGAGCTGGGAAGAAAGTGTGCATCAGAAAAAAACGACTGATGAAGCCTGTGAAAAAAGAAATCTGCAGGGGCTTGAAGACAGGAGTTTGACAGAGCAAGAAGGAGAAACAGGAGAATGAGGAGGTGGTGGAGTGGCAGAGGGGACAAATCAGAAAGAAAGCCAAAATGACCGAGGGGACAGAGAGAAAACAAAACACAGAGGGGCATCCAGAGGACAGCCAGCTCCGGCCGAACGCTCTCATTCCTGCTTCCTGTTTCATTTCCTCACTCCCCTCTCCTCCTGCTAACCTCCTCACCCCCCTCCTCCTCCTCCCTCCATCATCTCCATCTCTCCTGCATGCACTTTGGAAGCAAGTCTTCTTTTTTATTTATTTTTTTTTGCATGCGAGAAATCCCTGTGCACATGCACAAAGTGGGGCCGCTGTCCCGTCAGAAGCAGTGGCAATAGCACAGGCCGCCGTCCTGATGTTTAATTCATTGTTGGGGAGTCAGAGAGGACAACAGGAAATAAAGAAAAGGCAAAGGAGGGGGAGGAAAGATTACCATTTCTTTCTGTTGCTGCTTTGTTTCCAGCCATGATAGTGAAAGTGAGATGAAATACGTGAGTGGGAGGGAGAGACTGAGGGAAAGACAAAGAGAAACAGATACACAGAGAAAAGGCACAAAGCAATGTGGAAGAAACGAGCGAAGTGTTTGGTGATTATGGAGGTTGTCTGTTGTTTGCCTGTCTGTGGAGACACTCTGACAGAAACAGAGCTGAGTGTGTGTGTGTGTGTGTGAGTACACAGTAGCCCTGACACTGTTCTGTCATCCTGACGTTAATCAGGGCTTGTTTAAATATCCTTTCACAGGAGCAGGATTAGGGGGAGTCCCGCTAGACCTGGCCGTGCTTCACTGTTTGTGTATATGTGCGAGTACGGGTGTGTGCATGTGTACGGTGTCAATCAGAAGTTGTTTGTTGTTTGATTCTGGCTCTAGAGACAGGGCACAGGTGTGAGGAGGATGCTCTCACTGAGTTCAGAGTTGGTAAGATTGGTTTGTAAGGCTGAGGGCAGGAGGGGACTTCTGTAATCTCACCACATTTGTTGCTGGTCTGTACTTTTCAAACACGTTCACTTTGTGTTCGAGGGTTGTTTTGATTTAAACTGGTGTGTCCTGCTTTCTCAGGGGGCCTAAATATAAAGGGACACACAAAAAACAAGAGGTATTATTATGGGTTATAGATTTTTTTTTTAATGCAGATACAAATAACTGGTAACAACCTTCTCCTTGTGGCCCATACACAGAAGATAAGTGAGATTTTATTTGACGTTTCTGTCAGAATAAAATTAGGGTGTAGATGGCAAAGATTCAGAGAACAAAGACATGCATCCACAATGTAGGACCAGAGACAGAGCAAAAAAAAAACCCCAAAAACTACATATACCCTTTAAAATGAAAAGAAAACAGGTTGTGCAGATGGCTGAGCAGGTTAGCATGCCCCATACATGGGGACCATGGTCCCTGCAGAGGTTGCAGGTTGGAATCCAGCCCTGTCCATGTGCTGCATGTTCTCCCCTATCTCTCCCTGTCTCCCCACATTTCACCCTGTCCTGTCAATAAAGGCTAAAAATCGCCCAAAATATACTTTAAAAAAAAAAAAGGAAAAAAAGCACACTAAAGACCAAATTACCCACAATTATAATCCATCCCTGTGTTTCACCTTTGAAATGCTTATTTCCTTACCTTTTCATTTCTTCTTTGACCTTTTTAACCTCTTTCTTTCTGTCTTTTTTCCCCTCTCATTGTTTTTCTACTTCTCTTTCCTCCCAGCCCCTCCTCTCTCTGTGGCTATTTGCAGTTTAAAAAAAACACCATATTCATTGCCACCATTTTGCTGTTTTGGTGGTCCTGGTGTCCCTAATTTACCTTATCAAGTTGTCACCACCTTTTTCTAGCACATTTTTGTGCATTCAGTTCATCTTGAACTGAACCATTAAATTCATTCCTTTTTTCCAGGCGCTTAAGCAACAGTCACATACTAAGCGATTGCAAAGAATTACAACTAGCACGTAGCAACTGAAATGTAAACAGACAGCAGCATGCAGAAAACATAAATGCACCTTTTTCACTAATGACTGCTGTTTGTGCAGTCGTTCGGTCTTGTTTTAATAAAAAATAACATCCTCGTATTTGTTTAAACGGCTGCTTCAGTAGATCAACTGATTTTGCAGAGGTGGAAGCCGCCATCTTGGTTGGTTACAAATAGGCTAAAGTATCTTAAAAATAGAAGAGAGGGATTGAGCCGGGACATCTGCCACTGATAGGAAAATGTTGGGGATGGCAGCGTTTCCAGACCCACATGTCAGAGAAAATGAATGCGAGCCGGCTGATGGGTCTAAAAACCTCAGACTACATGACTAGTACATTAAAAAGGAAGCTTTTGTGAATCATGGACAAAAAACAAGGAGCAGATCCGTCTCTTCTGTTGTCATCTCCTAATTTTCCTGTTATCCAGAGAACTCCCATACATGCAGTAATATCCTCTCATTAGAAAGTCTTCATCAAGCCACAAGGTGTGAAACAGGTCATTCTTCCTAGACAATAAAACATCATGCAGGGCAGGAAAGGATGTATCCCCAAAGAGGTAAAGATGCCATTGTTTCAAAAATACGTCACTAGCTTTTGAATGTTTTTGTCTTCCACCTCAGAAATAGTTCTGCCTTCCAGTGCTTGAAATTTAGCAAAATTTGCAACCCTGCCATCCTCCTTTGAAACAATGTAAGACATAGACACAGCTGATACTATCCTCACTCTCATGCTTATTGCAGCCCCACTTATTTTTCAGATAATGGCAGATAGAAAACCTCCACCTGATCGCACTGCCAGCAGAGGAGCATGCACATGTTGCATCTGCAAACTGTGCAGAAACAAATAAGCTTTTTGATAGCAAAGTAAAGTGCTGGGAAGTTCCACAGTGGTTACACTCGCACAGAGATGAGTGCTGAGATGCCGGTCTCTCAAAGTAACTATGTGGCTGCAGAGTACTGTAGCCTAGCTTGCGTACTTGTTCTTGTAGCAGTTTCTTATGAAAAAGCTGACTACAGTCCATCGGGGCTAGATTACAAATTCATTTTTTGCTAAACTCATGTCAGTGTGTAGTAGGAGTGAGAGAAAAAAGCAGAGTATCACGATATTTTGTTTGGTGATATATCGTATTGTCTCATTTACCAAGTATAGATTTTTCAAATTAATTGCTGATATGAAGTCAAATCTATGATGTTACCCCCACTCTCTTACCGCTGTTACATTCATGTTACCCGCGCTACTCGCTATACAGACCGTGTATAAGCTTGAATGTTACCTTTCACGTTAAAGGTAGAGGGTCCGACAGTATTTGATGCGCTCGTTGATGAGTCAATACAAGTTGAAAACAACATTGTGTGTTGTGCTCACACAGTGCGAGTTGAAATCATTAGCTGTGCATTGATAATGCTACTAATGCTATTAATGCTACTTGCTATAGATTGTTTATAAGCTTGAACGTTACCTTTCGTGTTGGTGGGAGAGGGTCAGACGGGATTTTATGCGCTCGTTGATGACTCAAAACAAGTCGAAGATGACGTTGTGTGTTTTTGTGCGAGTAGAAATCATTAGTGGCGCATTAATATTAATGATCATGTGAAATTTCAGTAGCGGCGCACGCAATTATGAATGTAGGGGAAACACTGCTGGATTACAAAATGTTAAAAATCACAATAATATCGTATCGTGGCCCAAGAATCGTGATAATATCGTATCGTGGGTCCACTAGTGATTCCCACCCCTAGTGTGTAGACAGTTGAAGCACATCCTGGAGATTTACCCCCCTGCCTTTGGCCTCTAGATTCAGGTGGTATTTCCAGGGCTGGGTCAAAGTTTCCCTGAAAGCATGAATTAGTGTCGTGAGGTGGCAAGCTTCAGATGAAGTCAGCATTAAATCTAATTAACACAAAGCCGATGTGATGGACTGGATCAGCGCAGGATGTGTCAGGCTAATTGTTAGTGGCACTGTTTGTCTGTGTCTCCTCTGCTGAGCTAATGAAAAGGAAGCACCAACTTGTTTTGGGCTCAAATGTAGCCGCGAGCAACGCGCCTCCCCAGACGCCACCCGAGACCACAGAAGACTTTGTTAATGATCCAGAAAAACACATGGCTGCTGCTCTGTCTGCTTTGAATAAGCTGAAGAATAGATGCAGCAGCTCGGCCTGTGACGGTTAGTTGGAGAGGATGCTGGAGGTAATCAGACTGGAATAGCTGTTTGAGAGGAATCTGTGAGAGCTATTGGTCGAGGTTTAAATCACTTACTGTGATGCTGAGGCATTACCTTGTTTTATCATTCAGCTTGAATGACACAATTGCTTCACATTGCAGATGCTCCCCGTCCCTATAGACATTGTGAGCACAGGCTCTTCATCTCCTTCCTCTGTGTTCATGTGGCATGCTAGATGTATAATTGATAAAGCCACAAACCAATGTGTGGATAAACTGCGCTCACTGCTGCGTTTGCTGGCAGTTTTGTCTTAATTATTCACAAGCATATCATCATAGAAAAGGCGACACGCTCTTCTTTTGACAGGGGGGTTTAAACTGGGCCGCCGCTGTAAAGCTGCTCCGGATTTGTGGAAAGGAAAAGGCCCTCCAAGGGTTTTGCAGCAGCAGAGATGCAGACAGTCGCTGTCCTCAAATTCTTGCCTGCTCGAGAAAAGGAAGATGTTTTTGCTCTCTTTCTCGCAATAACAACCCCCCCTCAACTGGAAGCCAAATGAAAGACAAAGAAACCCTGATTTCTGAATGCAAGTTTCAAACATTAGTGCAGTTTGCACTGTAAAATCACAAGTAAGATAGAGTGTGATATGTTTAACAGAGACACAATGATGCGGTTTGGAAAGAAATTTTACTTAGAAACCCAACCTGCACAAATTCTGATAACAAAGTGGTGTTGTTTCTGCAGGAATGAGCTTTGCAGGCTTATTTATAGACCAACATGTGAAGGCTCTTAAAGCACACGTCAGAAGCACAGGAGGTTCTGTGCACACAAGACATACTCATCACCATATGAGTTTTGACATCACATGGACTGATGGTAAAGATGCTGAAATGATCAGTGACAGTGGAAATGGTGACTTTCGTGCAGAGCTTGATGTCAGTCACGGTGCGTTTTCGGTCAGTGTAGGGCCAAAGGTGGATGGGGAGTGTACTTGTCATTGAACATCCAGAGACTGACCTCATACTGGAAGCAGTTACATGATACAAGGAGACAAGAGAAACAAAAACTCACCATCTGTAAGATGAGAGTCACAATAAGAAAAAGAAACCAGTGTAAGTGTTTTGAAATACACACTTGCTTTTAGATAGGAGCACTGCTGTGTATCTCTGTATACTGTTATTAATGCAGGCACTTAATATTAGGGAAGAAACTCCAAAGTTGACTTTAGACCAGGTTTTAGTCGCCTTATGGTTGTGGTCCCCAAAGTATGGGGTTAAAGGGATATTCCTGTGCAAGTTTAAGTCATGGTCAAACACACCGTAACACTGAGTTAGACACCCCCTCGAGAGATTAATTTTGCCGACCGCTTTCCATGAAGTAATGATCATAATAATCATTTTGCACTGCAGACGCGGTAGTTCTTCTGCCTTGGCGTCTCGGTCTGATTGCATTTCCAGGAAGTAATGATCATAATTGTTCTTCCTTGAGCTGCGGATCTCCACTGCATTCGGTGATCAACTCGTAAGGGCTCCCCCACAAACAAGCAGCTGCTGGAGGAGAGTGGGTGAGTCATGTTTAGTCTCTTTGCTAAAGAATCCAGGCAGAGCTAAAAGATGTTAGATGGCTAGTATGGCTATAGAGTGGCTTTTTGGTTGCGGTTTGCACGCAGAGACGTAGACTGCTGTGTATTGCTATTGTGCGGTCATTGCCAAAGTTGGTGTAACTAGAGAAGCAAGCAGTCGGCAACACACCGTAACACTGAGTTAGACACCCTTGGTGTTATGGTGTGTTTGACCATGACTTAAACTTACGCCGTAATATCACTTAAAGATACATTTGGTATCTTACTCTGAGCACCTTATTTCATTGATGATTGTAAAGTTTGCCCAGATGTGGTGAATTATGCGTAACTCCAACTGAAAATGATAATAAGAGCCACCAGTTTTCTCCTTTCCTTTTAGCAGCGTTCTAGGCTGGTCAAGTCAAAGTAAATGTACTCACTCATTGGGACCTGGAGTACAAATGCTTCTTTCACAACTCTGCTGTCCTTCAAGGATGTGTTGTATCTAGCCAGAACTTGACCGATGTTATGATGCGTCATTGTTGTGTCTATGGTGTTAAACCCGGTGAGAACTTACTGCTGGATCTTCAAATTCCAGTTTTTATGCATTTGTACAGCTTTTGTCAGGGAACCTGGTCTCTTTACAGGATATGCTTCCCTTTTAGTCCTTTAGCAAAATAATCATACTCCTATTTCAAGTTAAAGCCAGCCTTTTTCTTCTAATGACGTGTCGACATGTGTCTGATCAGACATCTGAAGTTCTGTCAGCTTTTCTCCTAAAACTGTCTGCCATCATCTGGTTTAACTTCAAATCTGCCACCTCTGAAAAAGGAGAATCTCATGTTACTGTCTATGTATGTCAAGATGTCGGGCATGTGTGGAAAGAAACCAACCTGGACAATCTGAATGACCCTTTCAATGGGACTTTTTTCAACATTTTGATTGCTTTATGAAAAGATTTACACAACCCCTTTGCGACAGGATGAAATTTCATTCAGTTTGGGCCTGTTTATTGCAACGTGGTGTTTATACGGAGCATTTTGAGCACCTGTAAACACAGCTAGTGAAGCAAACATCTGAGTGTGAGTTTGTGTGAGAGGAATACAGAGTGAGTGGAGTTGCAGCACCCTGGTATGGATCTATATGTATGAGCATGCATGAATTAATGTATGCATGTGTGAGAGGAATTACACTACAATCCTTTAATGCTATTTGCGTGTCCGAGCATGTGTGTCTATGTGAAAACAAGGGTGTGTAGCTGATAGCCGTAGTGTTGGCGAGTATGTGACTGTGACATTGCTCCTGGATTCTTTTCATGGCTTGTTAGTTCTGTAAACTCTGTCATTTATATCATGGACACACCCACACCACTCATGCCTACACATGCTACACACTCGCACAAACACACACGCTTTATGTTTTCAGTCCTTCTAACAGCTTTTTATTCAGCTTTGATGCATTATAGTACAACTACATGAACACTCTCCTTTGCACAGTCACTTTATGACCTCCACCCCATCCATTCAAATTACACAACAAACAGAGCAGTATGCACATACGGCCCTATTTACTCAATCTGAGGAGCAGGTTCCACAGTGCATGGCACTAAACGAAAGAGGGCGTGTCTCACTGCTTTGCCAGTTGGTAAGTGTGACGTTACTCATGGCGTGTCATTCATATCTGGCTCGTTCACAAATGCACACTTCTTTGGAAAAGCTTCCTGTTTTCCAGCCAATTTGATTCAACCTGAAATTTACAATTTTTTAAATCCTGGATTTTTTTTTGAGCTAAGACAAAAATCTAATGAATTTCCTGTACACTTTTACACACATTTGAGCGCTGGCATTTATATTTCTTATTGTATTTAGCACCTTCTTATCATTCAAAGACATTATTGGTACATTATTTCAATGTGATCAACTTTTACTACAATGATGTGATGTTTAGTTCACAAAATGAAAAACGTCATTCAACATCAAATAAAACCAGCATCAGTTTTATTTGTATAAATGTAGACGACTAGCATTGAACTTTAAATGTTACACATGAACAAGATTTTAGAAAATGATGTACCCATGTTTTAAAACCCGCACCTGCAGATCTGTGTTCTAGATCTACAGAAAGGAGATTTGATGCGCACATGATGATGAGCACAATTACAGATCTGTACCCATAAATCTGTGGGTACAGAATCATGATGCATGCACATGATTTATTAATCTGTGGGTATGGATTTGCAGTCTGTGCACATGGATATCCACATGGCTGTCTATCTGGCACTGACCTGGCACTCATGGGGCTCCGTGTACAGACAGTTTGTTCTGCAGATTTTAGACCAAATTTAATTTTCTTTTACATCTGACTTCATCTGGTACTTTGGCTGCTTTAACACGTGTTTGTTCTTATTCTTATGATTTGACTTTTCTGTGTACAGTATTGATTTGACCCTTTCTGAGGACACTATGTCACTCTTATGCTAACTGTGAATCAACATTAACTAAACATTATGCTTTTTAGTTACTATGTTGTGAAGTAATATCAACAATAATTTATCAAACCTTGTGCTCTAATATAAAGTTTTCTTCCCGGGTCATCCCTAAGTATTAAAGCGCATCATACCATAATATTAAACTGGTTCCTCAGTCATAAGAATACCCTGTGCACTCTCATTTATTGGTCTAAAGAACGGCTGCCCATTAGACAAATGTTTATCCAGAAGTTTAAGATCAACTCTTGACATGCAACACTTTCAGAATATAAGAGCCTGTAAATTCCATCCTAGACGAAGCACACTCAGCTCCATGGCTCTATTCTTTGCAGAACAAAGTCTCAGGTATTCAAGGATTCTTACTCAAGTGTCTTTTTGTCTGGAGTCAAAGTCTAACTCTGCGTCACGAAGAATCACAACAGTCTGCATCCCTTTTTGATGACAGCACTTTTCTTATGCTATCACACATTCTATTCTTACATACACTCCTGGCACTACAAAACATGCTAAAAAACATATCAGCCAGTTTGTGTTTGACTTCCAGCAGCACTTACAAGTAGAAAAGGGGTTGATGGCAATTTTAAATCATCGGCATCATGTTGGCATCTGCCCTAACAAGGCTGATATCACAAAGATCATTTAAAAACTCAACTTTTTAAAATCCACAATGACAGAAAATCATATTAAAACAGTAACTGACCAGTGTTAAGAATTAATTCTGTAATGATGTCTATAAAAATTCCCTCAAGTTTTGTTTCTGAAAGAAATATCAGCCATGCTCTGAGGCATTAAAAATGGACAGACAACAAATTAGTGGCTAAGACAACTGTGTTTATTTAAATGTGCTTTTATACATCCCATTTTGTTTTATTTTACCACAATATTTATTAAGTTTTTCTTTCTTTTTTAATTATTTAAGCTGGCAGGATGAAAATCCAGAGGTCCCAATATTTTACTGAATCAAATATTTTTAATTCTGATTTACTTATTAAATGTTTGCACAAGCTCAGCACTTTCTTTCTCACAAACAAACAAACAAATATTGAGATGTCAGCGATAGATATATCTATCAGCTGCCATCTCACACTCTCATTATCAGCATCGGCAGTTGAAAAGGTGTAATCAGTCAGGAAACTCAGGTGTGAACGGCTCCATGGATGTGATTTAGATTTCTTTGGAACATGTTTATGACACTCTTGAGAAGATATTGATGAATAAGGATAGGTTTTTATAGATAAAAATACATGATTTGATTCCTCAACTTTCAAAATGTAAGTACTCCATTAAAATTGAATTACAAAGCTTTTATAAACAAAATGTACACACATAAAATGATGAATTTACATCTTTTGTAATGGAGTGTTCAGCATAAATACAACATTTTTCTCTCAGCTTTTCACAGCCGTATCGGTCAGAGCCTGTCTCGTACCCGAGCACAGGCCTCACTGCTGTCAGGCCCCCAGGAGCCTCCAGTCCACGACAGAATCACAGTCACACACACAAACACGCACACATCAGTGCTGAATAGGCAGTGGTCAGGTGTAGGTGTGTGTGTGAAGGTGATAGAGGAGTGCGAATGAGCCCAGAGGCAGTGCTGAGTCTGCAGTGTTGTCATGGAGACCTGTATTGAACCTCTTCTGAGACCAGGTCCTCAGTGTGTATTTGCATAGGTACTGGGTGTGTTTATGTGCATATTTTTATTTGTTTGTTTGGTATAAAGACACACACGCTTGTCGGTTTGTCCGTCTGTGTGTGTGTGTGTTTGCATTTGTGTGATCGATGTGGCTTTAAAGTGGCTTATCTGTTTGTTATCTGTGTGACAAGCTCATCTTTGGCCCTTTAGCCCTCTGACAAACACCTCAGCTCTACACGAAAAACTTACAACAAAAGAAAGCACACAGTAACTAAAAAAAAAAAAAGAGAAGTCATAAAGAGAAAACTTCGACAAAAATGTGTAAATGTCAAAACAGACCTTTCTTAAGAACAATCCAGAAATAAAATTGTTGCTTTTTTCATATCTTGTCACCACTCTCCTATCTGGACTTGATAAAACCTATAAAATACGAAATTTCTACTGCTGATAGTTAAAGCAGTTTTCTCACACACACACATGTCCACTAGATCTGAGCCTGTTGACCATTTAAGCATAATTTTGCTTGTATATGATCATATATGATCTAAAATGTGTGATTTGCTCTCTTGTGATGAAGGATGGATAATCCTGTCTCTTTGAAGATGCAACAACTAAAGCGTGACATTTCATGACAATTATGATGCAGTTGTTGTAATTGTTTTTGCAGCGTCATTCTATTCTGTCAGCTCTTACTTCCCTTTCATATTTAATAACAGGCCTTCCTTAGAAACAGATCCGAACAAGAGAGCAAAATACTGTAATAAGTGAAACTGTCTCGCTAATTTAGCAGCTAAATACCTCACCATCACTTCTTTGTTTAGCTCTGTGGTGTTAATGCAGTTTGAAACACAGTTATGTTATATTTTTGTCTTTCATCCATTTCCTCCTTGGCTTGAGAAACTCTTCGGTCCTCCTCACTCCTCCTAACAACTCCTTGTTTTCCTCTGATGCTTTGATGAAGTCAAGAGATGCCGTTAGTGTTACTGATAGTTTTCCAGCTCAAATGTTGTCCAAAACTCTATAGAGTGGATAAAAAAATGACAAAAATATATCACCTAAATTACGCTCTATACCATCAAAACATGCTGAAAGTAGTGCTTATGAGTTTTTTTTTGAAGATTATGTTGAAACAAATAATATATATAGTCGTCCTTTCAAAATTATATAGAGTTATGGTGCCCTGCATGGAGAGAACCAGTGCTGGACTGTTGAGCCTCATACTGAGCCGCTCTGTTTGTGTAGTTGGGATTGAGAACATGTTGTCCCATCAAAGGGAGCAGAGGATGGCGTGAAGGAAAGGAAGGCATTTTAAAGAGGATGGGAGTCCTTGAAGAGAGCTTCAGTCAATATGAGGCTGCGCTGCTGCTCTGCATGAGGAGCCTCAGGGGAGGGTCAGCAGTCCAACAGGTTCCCTTTAGGAGTGCTGAAGGACACGCTGTGGCTCCTGACATTCACATCCCAACCTTGACTCACCTTTCACAGGGGGAGGAAAGGGAGAGCGAGTAAAGGGATGTATGAGAAGTGTGTGCATAAGTAGCTAAGTAAGTTTGTGTGTCTTCCTGCCTGCCTGCCTGCAAACACTGTTATTACACCAGCAAACTTGCTGCCTGGTCAGAAATTGAACCAATGATGTAGCAAATGAGAAAAAAAGAAACAAAACTGCGTGCAGATATTTGCATAAGTAGATAGTAAAAAAGTTCAGGCCTTTTATTTTATGCAGGCTTTCTTATCTTTGTCTCATGATAGTTTACAGAGGGGGGCATTTCACAAACTGTTTGCCAAAAGCCTTGTATTGTATAAGACTTAATGTAGTGTGAAATTAAAACCCCCTTAAAAAGCATCCTCGACACCGTTGAAACAGCATGGTAGCCACTTGTGATATTCATGCTTGGCCACCAAAAAATGAAGCCTATCCATTCTGGAGAGGGGCTGTTGCTGACAGGACAGGAGGGAGGGGCTGTGGGGGGGTGTAAGATTAGCATTTTAAAGAAGAAGCAGCAGCTCCGCCTGAAGTTTTCTCTGTTTTACTTTTGTTTGGTTGTTTGTGTTGGATCTGGTCATATTGAAGTGGAAAACAGGGTGTTAGTGTTTAGTTACACACTTTGATTGAATTAACGCATTACAGCTGCAGCAGTAACTTTAATAAGACAACAGCAGGTGCACTTAGGCGGCTATTCCTCACTGTCAATATGCCAAATTACCATGACTGGTTTGGTTTGTTGATCAAGGGTTATGACCATAGACTGTATATAGAATGGACGCCATCTGCCTCCTCGTTGGGCGAAGCCTCCGCGAGAACAGCACCCTCTGGTGACGGGCTGCAGTATAGGTCATACATCCCGCCTCCTCCAGCAATCCCTATGGAGCTGAAATTAATTAAGAAGAACTTTATATATTCACTACCTAAGGGGAATTCAACAATTAATTTAGGTTTAAAAAGTTTAAAAAGTTATTAGGGGTTATTAGCGCCTCTCCTGCCGAATGCGTCCAACGCTACTGCGCAAGTGGTGGTTCCAGAAAGTGGAGAAAATCTTGAAAATACGGAGAGCACTATGGCTTCAAATATGTACAATGACAGAACGCAAAGCCGTGTTGTCCATAGTACATATAGTCTTATGGTTATGACAACTTTTAGTTTTAGACTGACCAATGAAAAAAGATTTTTATGTAACTTCTTGCTCAGTCATGATCCATACCTGCCAACATTTATGTTTCATAACGTTGATTTATCACTCATTTAATTCAAAACAGCACTACAAAGCTTAAAACCCAAACAAAAACTCATCATGGAGAGTTATAGAAGTCTTCACTTTTATAAGATGGTGGACTCTATCCTAAAACACACTTTTTAACAAGGAGGTAATTATGATTTATTTCTGTAAAAACTGAAATTAGTCAGACTCCTGTGGCTGTAATCAAAAAGCCTCCTAGTCTGAAGAGTTCTTCCTACTGACAGCATTCTATGAAATTTCTGAAAACTTCAATGTTTCTCGGAAATTCCCAGAAAAGTTCAGACCAGATCTTTGTAAAAATAAGTTATTCACTAATCATTTTAGCCCTAGAGAGGACTCTGAAGGAGTGACTCGAAGATGATCTTAAAGGGGAACTTCAGTGTTTTTCACCCAGTTTCAGAAAGTGTTCTCCCCATCGGTCAAGCACACACAAATACATGAGAAAATAGGGCTCAGCCCCCAGTGAGTCCAGGCCGAGCCCTAACAGGCGGACAGGCATCTTTCTCATGCTTGTATTGATTTAAACCATGGGGGACAGTCTGAACAGAGCTCAGACCAACTGTGATCCACTGCACCTCTAATTGGCGGAGTAAACTTATAATAATGTATCCAAGCTTTAACAAGCTGGAAATGTCTTTAAATACGTGTTTTTTAATCCTGTCAGTGGTTGCATAAAATCTGTAATCTGCACAAGACATTTCTCCCTGAGTCTGAACACATTTGTTTTGGCCCCCACACCATTAATGTGTGTGTGTGTGTGTGTGTTAGAAATGAGAGCGTGTGGACGTCTACCTCTGGGCTGCTTTGATGTGTGTATGTGTGTACAGTCAGTATTATGGTTACAGGCAGCACCGAGGTAATTTTTTTTCAGTTGTTGTTGTTGTTGTTGACGTTTTCATCTCAGGGAGGACTTCAGGCTTACC